AGTCTTTTTCTGCTGAAACATTAAACCTGAAAAAGTTTTTTAACTTGTGTAAATGTTCATGGTTCATATCCGTCGTCTTTAGTTTCTCTGCTTCTCTAAAACAAACACCGTCTTGATTTCTCGTAGTTTCATGTCACTGTCAGTTCAGTCGTTTGTCCCGCCTCCCTGCCGTGTTACTGCAGATCTGTCCGGCTTGTTCTGTCTCCTCTGCAGAAACATACAAACAACACTTCTTTATTGACAACGTTCAGCCGGGTCTTCGCCTCCTTCTCCGTCTCCTCCACTCCTCTCACAAACACACGTGCACGGAGCCAAGAGTTTGCTTGCAGGAGTATGTTACTGGAGTGGAGCCTTGTAATTGACTAACCTCTGCTCCGCCGCACTCCCCTCTGCTTTGCTCATTTCTGTCAGCTCGCTCCAAAACTCCAAGAAACATGAACTTTGCCTGAACTTGGTTCTCATAGAAACACAGAGAGCGAGGGTGTGACAAATACAACTTCTGTCAGTTAATATACTGCACATTGTGCTCTCACAGTGTCAGCGGTCCAGCAGAGAGTAAAGCAGAAGAAGGCCCGGATCAGCAGATGTGGAATAAAGGGGTTTATTTTAGACGGACACGTCGATCTTTGATGACAGTTTCTTGTAATTATTGACCATCTGTCAGAAATCCCATCACAGGAAACTTCCCTCCATGTTTTTGTATGAGGTCCCGGGTTAAAACGGTGGAAGTTACCATGACAACAGCTTCACTATGTCTCCAACAATAAGGTTCATCTTGAAAAGTTCACGGCGGTAAAGAAGGAACGCTGCTCACTAATGAAAACTCTTTACTGGACTGTGGAAAATGTGCTCAAGTCAAGACTCAATGGAAACTCCAGACTGTAAAAGCTGATGAACAGCAGCAACATCTCTCATCGGCTTCACATGGATGACAAAGGTGGACATGAGCGAAGTATGGAGGCAGGAATGGAGCTGAAGGAAAGATCTGGACGTCAGTTAAAAACCAGGTCTTACTTTACAATCCAAGATTTCTGAGGAGGACAGATGAAGAGATCTAGATCTGCTCAGATCTGGAGACTCTGGGACGAGTGATCTTAGCAGGAACATCTGTCTCTACAGCCCACTGAAGAACACGTGTCTCTGTTTCTGTGAATAAACTGTAGATATCCACAAAAGTTATAAAAGTAGATGTGCAGAAAAACCGAATGTGTTTGTTCTTCTAACAAACTTTAAAATGTGTAACCAGCTCTGAGGAAGAGACTTTGATTATTGAAGGTCAGGTACAAACCCTCTCCTCTTCTCATTATTAACACAGAGTTGGTCTTTGAGGAGAAGAAGCTGCTGAGATGTTCTCCATCATCTCTGAACCCTCAGAAATATCAGCCAGTAACTCGACACTAAAGTGGGTTTAAATACTCTGACTGTAATAAAATCAAAACGTCTAATTCCTGTTATATTCATGTGATTTCAGACTCTTTTTAAACCGTTAATGTTATATACAGGAAACACAAAAAAGGACTTTTCTCATCGATGTAAAATATGGAAAATTTCAGAGTTAAATATCTTTCAAACACGAACCCGGAGCCGTCCTTCAAACCATGAGGTCTTTTAAAATCTCAGTTTATTTGAACGTTTACATAAATATCTTTACTAAAGGAAAAAAAACACTAAAATACAAACTGTGAGGGAATCACAGCTGAAGATTTTAGAAGGTCAAACTTTTCAGGCTTCAGAACCTCATCTTAACAAATTCTGCGTCTCGTCTCGTTTCCACTTTTCCTTTTAGCATTTCCCTGAAAATCAGACACTCAGTCTTCATTATTGACATTTACACTGTAAGTGACTTTGTGAGGAGCCGACAGGAGAGACCACACCACCAGTCCAGTCTGAAAACTCTGAACTGTGTTTCTGTCTTTGAACATGAACCTAAATTTATCACACAGAACAACATAAAGAAGCTTAAAGGTGAATTTCTGTGTTGAAGAGTCAATCATTGCTGCTCCTTGAACCCACAGTCAAAGTTCACGGTCTCACAAGAGCAGAAACTACATATTCATAAATGCTGAATGACCTCATGTGTTTACATGGCACTCGCCACCAGACTGTGAAAACTTCACTCGGCCGTGTCTCTCCCTGCAGGACAATAAAGTTTCAATTGTACCAGACGCCATGACTCGATAAAAATACCGGGGCTGTTGGGAAAACGACGTGTTTGAGTTTATTATTGAGTTAAATGTGCAGCAGGGTCAAATTTCATGCAGCTGAGTGAGTGAGTGAGCAGAGTAAGAAAGATTTAATAAATGTTTTCAATAACTGAGAGAAAATCACATTAAAACAAAAATGTTCAGACACAGAAAAGGAAACCCTGAAATGAAGCCGACATGAACGTTTAACAAACACGAAGTTTGTGTCTCCAGACACCAGAACGGAGAGCAGCGAGGAGAGGTTTCCCACATCAGCTTTAATGAACGTGAGTGAACGTGTGTGTGTGTGTGTGTGTGTGTGTGTGTGTGTGTGTAGCAGACCAAAGCCTTTGGCAGAGGACTCCGGTCCAGATGTTGAACTTGTGTGTAGAGTCTGCTCTCGCACACGTCTCTGCCTATAATATCCTTTCGTAGAGAATAAAGTGTTCGAGGTTCAGAGAGTGAAGAAGAAAGAAAGAGTTCCTCCTGAGAAAGGTCCTCGCTGTGGCGTGTTGTGATTCTCAGAGCGGTGACAGAAGACTGAAGGACAATAACTGTGAATAAAGAGGCTGAACATGAGGCTGAACACGGCTGATATCTGTAGTTCTGATGTGTAAGAGAGAGACTGAACGTTCAGGCTGATAGTGAGAGACACATCCTGCTGAAGAACCAACCTGATGTCAAACTCAACTCAACTTTATTTGTTAAGCACTTTAAAACAACCACAGCTGAACAAAGTGCTGTACATAACTAGACTAAACAACAAGATAAAAAACAATCAAAAAACAATTAAAACAATGGATAAAATAAAAGCAGAAATTAAAAGTAAACCACAAACCACCGCACCGTCGTACGATCTCAGTGTGTTCAGCTCAGACTTTGAAATGAGCACAAAGTTTGTCTCTTAGATCTGTGTAGATCTGTTCTGGGGGTGAGAGTTTGACGGGGTTTTGTTTCCCTGAACTTCCAAACTGACGTACGGCGACTTCTTAGTGTCTGACTGCAGAACTTGAGCAGTACTTTACAGCTCATGACTCCATGTTAGCTGAATGTTTGTTCTCCTCCTTTTAATTTGTGGTCTCCAAATCTTTTTCTAAGACTTCTCATAAAACACAAAGATGAGTGATATCATGTGGTCTTCATCAATGAGGGAGCTCTCTGTTAGACTTTACAGACATTTAAAAGCAACGATGAAAGTCCACAGACAACTTAGACAGCAGTGAGATTTTCATTTTACATCCCACTGTTTTAAAGTGAAGATCACTGAAGGTTCAGACCGTGTCTGAGCAACAACATATAAAAGTGGAGAAAAGACAAACAGGCTGAAGAAGTGTAAAAGTGAAGAAGTGTCCTAAGAGCCAGAAACATAAAGAGCTGCTTTGGCTGTGATTCTGCAGAAACATGATTTTTATAACACACCATAACCACCGTAAGAAACTTTAGAAACTGCTCAAAGTGACTGTTTCATATATATATACATATATATATATACATATATATATATATATATATATATATATATATGTATAGTTTAACAGAGGCCAGAACTTTGATTTCTGATGGTTTGACATGCTGCTTGTTGAAACAAATCTGATGGGATTGAAGGGAAACATGTTGTTCTGTGTTTCATTATCTGTCACACGTTAGTCTTATGATGAAAACATTATCTAATTAATGGACTAATCAATGTTCTGAGTTGATTTACTAAATAGTTTCTGTTGAGTTCAGAGAAACACGTCACTTCAGATGAATGTTTGTATTTCTACAGTGTTTTATATATAAAACTGTATCTGGTAGAAAAAAACAGTTTGATATAAAACCGTCTGACTCTTTATGGTGTTTAATATAATATAATATAATATAATATAATTAATATAATATAATATAATTAATATCATTAATATAATATAATTCTGTTCAGAGTAAAAGACTGTTCTGTGTGGAGGAGGATACAGTCTGGTGAAGAGTTTGGATCAAAAAGGAGTAAATTAGATTCTTTATTGAGTGAATTATCGTTCTGTCTTAAATTATTATTATGTACAGAGTCAGAAACATCACTAACATCTAAGAGACTGTAGAGTTTCTTTTATTTACATAAATCAAAGTAAATTATCATCAGAGTAAAAGAGGAAAACTAGAGTAAAAACAAACTCTTTAGACTGAGATCAAATTCTGTCTTTTTCAGAGTAAAACTTTAATTTCAGTCAAATTCACTCTAATTTCCTCTGAATTCACCTGTTTTCTGTTCATCTTCCTCGTTTTAACTTTATTTTTTAAAGGTTTAAATTCTCAGTGTGGCCCTGATACTCCATATTTATAAATGACATAAACTGATCCATCCCCCTAATTCTCTGTCTATAATCAATATCAGCCCATCTTCAGTCAGTGACTCCCTTTATCCTCAGAGGAGGCTCCTCTCTGTAGCTCCACTTCTCCACAGTATCAGCAGCACCTCCTCACTGAAGCTCCTCTCACTCAGGATACATGTTCCTGCTCCTCTTATCTGAAAGGATCTCTATCCCGCTTTAACGAGCCACTTGACCTCCCTCGGCGCTCCCATACTCCCTGGGTGACGCAAAAAAAGTGGGCTGGCGAAGCGCTAAGTGCACTAGTTTAGAGGACTATCGGTGCGCACTGGAACATCACAGGCAGGCGGACTTAGAGCCTCTCCAGCCGTCTCTCTCCCTCTCTCTCTCTCTCCCTGATGTTTGATCGATACTTGATCGGAGACACCGGGATGTGTTTGTCTGTGAGTGAGAGAGGAATCCGGGACTTCAGCTCGAACTTCGGCAGCCTCCTCCTTTCTCCAAGTTCGAGGTTGATGAAACTTTTTGAATGAGAATCCCGCCGCTGGCTGGCACATCTGGATTCGGGATCCTGAGCTGTCAAGTCCAGAGCCCAGGTTTTACCGGACCTGAGCTGACCCTGCTGCCCCTCTGCTGTGTCCTCACCAGGACTGGACTTTAATGTTTTTGATAGTTTCATGATCTGAAGGCAGACATGGATCAGTCCTTCCTCAGAGTAACGTGCGTCTTTGTGCTTCTCTGTCTCCAGGATCAAAGGTGAGTGAAGCTCCTTCAGTTTTCACATTTTTTTATAGAATAATAAGTTTAATTTGTTGGTGAAGAACCGTCCAATCACAGGTCACATGTTTCTAAAGAGGATTTCTGATGTTAGCAGGAATGATGAGCTGTTAGGAAGGACTCCTCTGTTTTCAATGATCAGTTTTCTGTCACAGTGGTGAGTTTAGTCAAAGAGAGGAAACACAACAGGTAGACTGACGGAGTTCCAGGAGCACATGTCCGTCACCTGGAAAGTAAGGCACAGTCCTGGAAAGTCCTGGAAGGTCTTATGGGCTACTTTTTAAAGCAAGCGTGGAAGTTTTAATGAAGGTTCACCTGTGTGTGTGTGTGTGTGTGTGTGTGTGTGTGTGTGTGTGTGTGTGTGTTACGGTCCCCCCCACGCCTGGTATTTGTGCATGTCGGGGTGTGCTTCAGCATGTGTACATACAGGAGTGTGAGAGTGTGTGTGTGTGCCCACAGCCATACATTCTCCTGCTGTGTGTGTGTGTGTCTGTGTGTGTGTGTGTGTGTGTGTGTTTCTGTCCCTGTTGAGAGTTTGTTGTAAAGAGGAGCTGAGTGTCTCTCAGATCAGTCTCTGTTTCACAGCTCTGACCACGGTCTGCTCTAACCCTGTTGCTCCTGATCGAGCAGAAACAGACAGTCGAGTTCAGAGACACACCTTACAGCCTTAGAGTCACTGAATGTACATGTTAACCGCTGCCCTGAGGGGGTTTTCCTGTAAAACTGTTACTAAAACTGCTGGATCCATGCCAACAGAGTGGAAGCTGTCCCACACACACACACACACACACACACACACACACACACACACACCTGTTCTTCTTCTGCACCTCCATGATCCCCCCGTACAGTCGAGTCAACATCAAAGTGAAGTTCAAACAAAACTCTGAAATTAAGAGTCAGGATGTGTCTGCAACAGGTTTGAGAGCGACGGTGTGATCCTCTGTCAGCCTCTGCAGAATCATAACGTTATAATAATAATGATAATGATAATATTAATAATAATAATAATAATAATAAAACACTCATCGACTGTTGTCTGAGTAAACGTCTGTCCTCAATAACCTGACCTCTGTGCTCTCTGCAGGGTAGACTCCAACGAGATCCTGGGCCTGAAGCTCCCCAACATCGACCCCATCCTGAACGCAAACACAGTGTGTCTGACTCTGCCGGGTTTGACGCGGCGCCAGCTCGAGGTGTGCATGCGTAACCCGGACGTGACGGCGTCTGCGATCCAGGGAATCCAGATCGCCATCCATGAGTGCCAGCACCAGTTCAGAGGGCACCGCTGGAACTGTTCCAGCCTGGAGACCAGGAACAAAATACCCTACGACAGCATCGTCTTCAAAAGAGGTGGGTCTTACGGGCGCTGTTGGACTGAGCTGTCTTTACAGGTCTAATTAAGTCCAGGTCCGCCTCTTTTCTCATAATTACACATATCAGAGGAGGGGGGGGTAGAATCTCAGAGCTTTTAATCCTGCAAAGAAAAGACGAGGAAACAGAAAAACACCTTTAGGAAGTGAGGCGTAAGCTACCTTCTGAAACTCACATGGAGTAAAGTCGAGCGGTTCAAAAGCCGGGTCTTCAAAAACGTCTGTGGTTTCATCCTCAAACACACTTTGATAGAAACAGCTTGAAAGGAGAAGCTTAGAAAGATTACTTTACTCAAACATCCCAAAACATCCTGAACAAGCGTCGGTATAACGTCGTCCTCTAAACTGTCAGAGAGCCGCAGAAGGATCATTCTTCTCTGTCTTTGGAGAATCTGAACGCTCTGAAGGTCGTCTGCTGACCGTCACGCTGCTCCCTCCTCTCTAACCAACAAAAGCAGAGGAAACTTCAAAAGCAGTTAGTCACCTGAAGATCACCAGGTGTCGTGCAGATCAGTTTCCTCTCAGGCTTTGTTGTGTTTCAGTCACAAAGGATGAAAGAGGATCGGAGTTTATCAGAGAGGCTTCAGACAGAGAAAAGTGTGGGTCTGCAGGAGGACCAGCTGACCTGGACCCTGAGCAGAACCAAACCTGATTGGTCCTTTTTATGGAAGTTTGATGACAAAGTCAATGATTTTTTTAAAATGTTGAGTCTAAATCTTTGAGCGGATCGAGTGTCAGAACATTTGTTCATTGAAATCGATTCATCAGTTATTGTAGTTTTCATCGTTTTAGTGTCGAACTTTCACCCCCTAAAGGATCTTTAAGTAAAGGTTTGTATTTTTAGTGCAGGGGGCGCTGTGGTGCAGCGGTTTGCACCTCACAGCTAGAGGGTCCCTGATTCTGGGGCCGGGGTCTTTGTGTGTGAAGTTTGCGTGTCCTTCCTGTGCGTGTCCAAAGACGTGTGTGAGTGTCAGTGTGTCTGCTCACCTGTCGAAGGTCCGGGGGGCCGCCCCACCTGAAGCTCAGTGACAGGGAGGTGTGGGTCAGTATCTGATAAAACAGTTTATGACAGAGGAGATGATGGTCATCATCAGAAAACACTCTCACAGTGAGGGAGATAAAGTCTGCCGAGCTTCGTCCTCCTTTGTCTGTTTTCTGAAAAATGAGACTTTCCCTCCATGAAGGATGTGAAACCTCAGAATAAAACCCTCTGACCTGCAGGTTCTCACCTCTGCTCTTCCTCTCCTCACTCTTTCAGAGGCTGTTTGTCATTAGAAGTTCTGGCAGTTGCTTGTTGTCTGGCGTCCCCGGTTAGCCTCGGGTGCAGAAACTCCAAACCACTGACATAAACAACCTCTTTAAGTCGGATGATTCATCAGTTACATGTCGATATGTTCTCTTCACTCAGTTAAACATGTCGGGGTCATTACTGTGCAGCTACTGAAACACGGAGCAGGACTTCAGTTCAGACATGGACCACATGGTTCTGTGCAGATCGACTCGTGAGGCTGTGTGTGTGTGTGTGTGTGTCTGTGTGTGTGTGTGTGTGTGTGGAGGACTTTACATCACGCTGATATACTAAAGCTTTAATCACGTCTCTGGTGTCAGACCGTCTCTGTCCGAAGAGTTTTGGTTTTTCGGTCTCTGGATGTTCGTCTTTAACTCTGAGTTTCATCAGGAGTCGAGTTGCTTTTGTTTACACAGACCACAGCAGAAGTTACCTGAGGGCACTTTTCACCGAGCAAGTCTAGACTGAACTTTATAATATTATTAACAGAAACCAAATGTTTGTTTTGGTGACTGTTTGCCTCCGTCAGATGCTGCAGCCTCTGTTGTTCTGCCGCTCGTCTCTCTGCAGATGGATCCTGATAAACTTCAGGGGCTCGTCTTCGTTCCTGTTGAGCTTGCATTAAAAACTAGGCTAAAGAGGACATCAGGCAAGACGTGGATAGACAGAAATAGGAGAATCTCTCTCTCTCTCTCTCTCTCTCTCACTTTCTGTCTTTCTCCGTCACCGTGCCCGTGTCCTCCCTCGCTGGGCTTCTCCTAATGCTTTTACTTCCCTTGCCAGTGTGAGTACTTGTGAATTTGCTCTCAGCACTTTCCCAACTCTCCGAGGCAAAAGCATAAACCTGTTTAGTTGGTTTCTGTAACACAAAGTGACAGTTTCCTTTCAATCTTTAATTCATTTTGTCACTTCCTCTGCCATCAGTTCAGCGGGGCGTGCCGCGGCCGGTGAATTATTTGTTAGATTGATTTGTACCCGGTCTTTTGGGTGCCTGTGAGCGGAGCTCAGCTTAGAGCGGGAAAGAGCTAAAACGGGCTTCCTATGTATAAAAATGTACCTAAGTGCCGTCCCTTCAGTCCCCACGCTGGTGTGGATCATGGTGATGGCTGTTTTTTGCCGGTTTGGTACATTAACTGTTTCATCCTTTTTTAAAGAATCAGGATCAGATCACTTGTATTTTGTTTAAGGATGCTGCTAACAGCGACAAACCCACCGAGTACAATCTGACTCTGCAGTTTCTCTCTTTTATGGTTTTAAGATCATTGTTTGATTTTATAGTATGACTGTTCTGGTTCTGTCTCAGCCTGAAGCCTGAAGCTTTTTTCAGCAGATAAACTCACTGTGATCGACACACTGTCAGATGTTTCCTCAGCAGAGGACCACGTTAGCTTACAGTAGATGAACACAGTCGAGGAGACCAAGGCGAAGATGAGGACGTATTCTAGAGCTTCAACAGGTGCACAGGTTGGAGGTCCGTACTGCAAAGTTTCAAACATGAGACACTTGGATGTCGGTGTTCTCCTCAGTGTTCTCCTCAGAGACTGGGCGGTGGGTTACGGTTTTCAGTTCTGCACGTCGTCGACTCCGTCTGTCTCAGAAAGATGTCGAAGGGTCACAGCGACGTGTCTCCTCTGTCCTCGCTGCAGGACAGACTGAGACTGTGTCCAGGGTTCAGTCCAACACAACAGCAAACGTGTCAAATTCAACATATTTTAAAAACAAAATAACATTAACTCAGGAAAATAACATGTAAATAACATGAAGCTAAAAGGAGCAGTTTTTATATTTGACTCCAACCAGCCGCTGAAATCATTTCTCCTTCTAGCTGTGTGCCGTAAACTCCTAACTGGTTTCTTTTCACATTTTAAGTTTCCATCATAATCTTCAGTGTTTTCTGCACCAGCATGTGACCGCCAGCAGGGGGACTTTTATAGACCCTAAAGGCCGTTGGCTAAGCTCTAACAACTAACAGTGGACAGGCAAGGAGACGAGAGCCGCTGGACTGTCAACATTCACAGAGTCCACAACTGGACATGGAGTCATTTTTACACCAATATGTACGATCATGAAGGTGTGTGTGTGTGTGTGTGTGTGTGTGTGTGTGTGTGTGTGTGTGTGTGTGTGTGTGTGTGTGTGTGTGTGCAGAGAGGACTGCTGTAGTATCAGATCAGCAGTCGTCCACTTCTTCTCATGCTCATGTTGTTGATGGTGAGCGTCAGCGGCAGAGCAGTCACGCGTTGATATAAAGATTACATGAGTCACAGTCACTCCCTCAAACGTCCATCTGAGTCTTTTCTGTGATCGAGGAGAATCAGGTTAGACTTTTTATCCTGTTGAAGCTGCAAACATGCATGAACAGAAACACAGAGTCTGGTCCTGGACCTGCAGGAAGACAGACGGAGACATGTCTCTGTTTGGACTGAGTGGGTGTCCTCTGTGAGTCCTCTGTGAGTCCCCTGATGGTGGGAGTTTGTTCTCGCTCAGCTCAGTTTGTTCATGAGTCTCAGCATGTGTTTTAATTTACAATAAAGGTGTGAATCAGTTCTTCCTGATTCTTCATCAACCCAGAAGGAGCTCCTCCTCCTCTTCTTCAGCTCGACTGACTCTGTGGGAACCTGCCGGTGTTGTTGTACGTGACCCTGATGACAACAAATCACAACAATTTATATCTGAAGACACTTTCCAAAAAAAAGACGGTCTAGATCGACTCTTTGTTTGATGTATTAAAAAGGTACACCACAGTCCACCGAGCTGCCGGCGGGCACGAAAATAAAGCCCTTAGACTCAGGCGTCATCTTGAACACTGAGGAGTTTGGATCCAGGTTAGAGACTCTGAAGAGTAAATTCTTCATGGAACACGTTTGTTCACAGTGATCTGAATTTATCGTAAATATTAAGTTTTTAGACGGCGTGACGAACCGATTCTGTTGATTCTGCTGAATGTGTCACTCTCCATCCTTTGTGTTCATTGTTATCGCTTCATCTCACCTGACAGGTTAATGACACATGCACATCGGTATGTTCTGCCTGCAGGTTATAGAAAAACTGTTTACCTTTTATTTCAACCCCATCTTGTCACACTTGTAAGGAAAGAAGAAAACGTTCGAGCAGCTTTTAAAGAAGCGCTGAGGGGAATATTGGAGGTTTGTGTTTTGGACTAAAGATCCACGCCGTGTCACTGAACAGGGTTTAAAGTCCGTCTCTCATCTTCATCTGTAACATGTAGGGCTGGACTGAGCGACATTTATGACACAAATACTACGAGAAAATCATCCTGTGCTGCAGTTTTTCTGTCTCACTGCACCGGTGTGAAAGGAGCCGCTGTGTACGTCTGTGTGTGTGTATATGTGTGTATAAGTGTGTATGTGTGTGTACCTTACTTACTAACGAGTCAGACGAGCTAATTGTGAGACGAGACTGAAGAAAAACAATCGAGGGATAAATCTTCAGTCAACACGGCAGACGTGCGCAGCGAGACTGCAGCTGTCTCTGCTGTTCTCAGTTTTCTTGCAGTTGTGATGTTAGTGAGCGATTTTGTGAGCGTACCGTGACAGTTCATCATCCAGCGATAAAATAAGTAATGTTGATTAACATTAGTTAGTTAGTGACCCATAATCCTAAGCTGCAGGTAAGTGGCTGAATGAGGAGAAAAAAACGACTTCAGTGGGCGGACATCCAAGGGCGCTTCACAACAGGTCCCCACAGGTGACCCGGGGTCCGGATCAAACAAACGGACCGTGGTCTGGATCAAACAAACGGACCGTGGTCCTCTTAAAAGTGAAGACTCGGTCCTCAGGCAGGTCTGAAATTTGCTTCATTCTGCTTCAAGTTTTTGTCTTACTCTACAACATTGTCGACATCTGTCGCAGCAGTTCTATGGACCAGAAAAGTGAACGTTCAGCCCCGACGTGACTGTGAAAGAGCGATCAGACTGTTAGTGATGATATTTATTCAGAGTATAATTCAACCGAACTCTGATTATGACCCTTTGTTTTATAACTTCTTTACCAACAGTCACTTCAGCTCCTTTTCCCTTCCACAGGTTTCAGAGAGAGCGCCTTTGCGTACGCCATCGCAGCAGCAGGAGTCGTACACGCCGTGGCTAACGCCTGCTCCATGGGCAAACTGAAGGCGTGCAGCTGTGACGAGAAGCGGCGAGGAGATGAGGAGGCCTTTCGCATCAAACTGCACCGCTTACAACTGGAGGCCATCCACAGGGGGAAGGGGATGGTTCACGGTGTCATGGAGCACTTCCCTGCTGATCTTCCAGGACCACAGGACTCCTGGGAGTGGGGCGGCTGCAGCCCTGATGTGGAATTTGGTGAGAAGTTCTCCAGGGACTTCTTGGACGCCCGTGAAACCTACAAGGACATTCACGCCAGGATGAGGCTGCATAATAACAGAGTTGGGAGACAGGTGAGTGGACAGTGACAAAGGAAGGATGTGGATGTTTGTCCCCTGATCGGGAGCATGTTTGGTTTGGAGGGATAAATCTGACACTGAAATCTCCTTCAGAATCGCCGACATTTCAACCAATCAGACATGACCATGAAAACCATTAAAATAAATCATCCTCTCAAATCTAAGGCACATCAAGTTTATCAATATTCATCTGAACGTTCTCTGTAACCTCTGGACAGTATGGAAATATTATGATTAATAATATTTATTTATTAAAATGTAGTTTTGTTCAAAAACAGGTTTGTGCAGAAACAGTTTTATCATAATAGAGACAAACAGTAGATTGGAGTTGATCTACAAGTTCAAATGAAGTGACTCAAAATATAATCTCTTCCATGTTTTATCAACATGAATATTTCACTAACTTAAATATATATTTTATATTTATTTTATATATATTTTATAAAGGAAAACAGATCAACAAATAAAACAGGTGGAGGTTCAGTGAGTCCAGTTTTTCTGGGCTGAAACACAAAAACACAATCTGGTTTCAGTGGTCAGGTCACCACGGCTGTTTACTTCAGTTTAAGACTGTGTGTGTGTGTGTGTGTGTGTGTGTGTGTGTGTGTGTGTGTGTGTGTGTGGAGCTCTGATAAACTTGTTGATAAACTCGATATTGTCCAGGAACTGTCTCAAATAACATGTTCGCTCATCTTGAAGTGAAGAGCCCCAGAATAAAATCCATGCAGTCAGTGACGAAGTAAAACCCTCATCATGATGAAGGTTCTGGATTTATTCTGCTCCATTTAAAGAGTAACAGATTATTATCCAGATATAAAGTGAACAAAAACACTAGAAAGGAGAATTCACTGAAAACTACTTTAAAACTGTTTTTTCAAAGAGCCTCAAATCTGTGAAATACTCGCTGTTTCCACTTCATGTGAGGACTGGAGCAGTCAGCTCTGTTAGCTCTGTTAGCTCTGTTAGCAGTCAGCTCTGTTAGCAGTCAGCTTTGTTAGCTCTGTTTGCAGTCAGCTCTATTAGCTCTGTTAGCAGTCAGCTTTGTTAGCTCTGTTAGCAGTCAGCTCTGTTAGCTCTGTTAGCAGTCAGCTTTGTTAGCTCTGTTAGCAGTCAGCTCTATTAGCTCTGTTAGCAGTCAGCTCTATTAGCTCTGTTAGCAGTCAGCTCTATTAGCTCTGTTAGCAGTCAGCTTTGTTAGCTCTGTTAGCAGTCAGCTCTGTTAGCTCTGTTTGTTCTGTTAGCAGTCAGCTTTGTTAGCCAACATTAGCAGGATACTGGAACCAGACATCCAGGTCAGCTCTGTGAACCACATCAGAACTTTCTATCAGCTACAAACAGCCAACAGCAGCTGATTCGTGGTAACAACAGTCATCAGCTGTGAGTTTAGAGTGTCTTCTTTGGGATTTGGTCGTGAACGTTAGCTACTTAACAGTCATCAGAAGTACATGAATTAGTCTCCTGCTGAGTGGCGAGCCAATGATAGTGAGAAGGGCCTGACCGATACGGATTTTTGGGGGCCGATGTCGATTATGAGGGGGGATCTGATTACCGATTAATCGGCTGTTTTTTAAATTTTTATGAAGTTGTAAAAAAATACATATATAGTAGATATCTATAGTATACTGTATACTGTAGATCTACAGTATACTGTAGATCTACAGTATACTGTAGATCTACAGTATACTATAGATCTACAGTTTACAGCACAGTTTACTGTATACTGTAGATATACTGTAGGCTGCTGCTCTTCACGCCGACAGGAAGACCGACTGATCAAACTCGGACCAGAAAAGCGTTTTCGACACAGTGAGATTTCATACATCACAGATTCAGACTCCGCCCCCAGAGCCCCACTCTGCAGGCCTGACTCGGCGAAATAGAGAGGACAATCATGGAACAAGTGTGTGTGTTAGCGGATTGCAATGATCATAAAAAGCTAATTATGATATTAACTTTCATCATCAAGACATCAGTGTCTGAATCGCTCCTGTTACCTGCTACTTCTACTACAACGGCAATGATAGGCTGCAAGCTAACTTGGAGTGTGTAGAGCAGCGCTGACTCCGCCCACGACTCAGCGGAGAATTGATAATGACCTACTGGAGCTCTGCAGGAGAAAAGCCTAAAAAATGACTCAGGTAAAAACTTCATGATCACAATTTAAAGACCACTGAGAAAACTTTAAGTAGTGAACAAAACGATCAGAGTGGGACTTGAATCGAATCACTTCTTCAAGCGATTCGATAGTTTTTCAGTTTAGTTAAGTTGGCGAGACACTTTAATGTATCAGTGCAGCCTGAGCGAATCTTAAACATAAAAAATAATATAAACGTAGAAATAACCCTCGGAGCTGCTGTCCCCTAATGTTGAGACTTAAAGCAGACTTAGTATTGTAGATATTTCTGTTTTGGCAGGTTAATCGGACAGCGCTCACTGCATGTAGCTCACACATGTTCAGGTGTGACAGGTGAGTTACCTGTCTGGCCTTATGATCCAGGATGAAGCTTCGTTAAGTTGCTGATGATTGAGTGACTGTTTTTCCTACTTTTGCTCCTTTTTTTCTGGGGAAACTTTTATTTATAAAACTCTTATTTTCCTCTCGGGACTTTTGGGACTTGAAGCAGAAACAGTTTCTGTTCTCGGGTGTTTCTGCTGCCGTGGTCCACATCAGTGAGGATGTTTCAGTTGGACGGATGGATACTGTTTTCCTGTTTTTCATAAAGGCCTTCCTAAATTATTGACCGACATGGTTTGTTCTTTTATGGTCATACGTTGAAAATAAAACTCGTCCTTATTTCTGTTTAATAGTTGTTTGCTGTGTTTACTTTGTGAGAGAATTTGAGGATGGGTCAATATTCGTTTAGGTATTAATGTGAAGTAAATCAAAATCTTCCTGTCTTATTAAAACCACAGAGTAGTTCAGAGCAGCAGCCTGCAGCGGTGGTGGTGGTGGGATGAGAGGAGGATGTAAATGACAGTGATAAGCCTCTACAGTATGGAGCTCTGTGGTGGAGCAGAGAGGAGAAGCAACTCTAACTGTTGTTCATTGTTCCCTGTTTCCTCTTGAGTAATTTGGGCCTGTATCTTCCCATCAGTTTACTTCTGGTTTCCTTGATTATGCAGTCAAAACACGAACGTGGAGCCGTCATCTGTGTTCAACAACAGCTGCTCTCCCTGCAGCAGCTTTAATGGCTGAAGTCGTCAGAGATGAAGAGCTAATGACATGTCTTCTGATCGTCGGTGCCGTTCATGTGGGAGTGAAACTTGGGTGTGGGCTGATATGACACGAGTCCAAATGTGTGTATAATTGAAGGGAAGCGGGTCTGTGGAGACCTCCTCTCTGTTTTTGGATGTAGTTAGTGAGATTTGAGACGGAGTTAATGGGCAGGGTCACACTGTGGCGTCATGTGTGTTGTCTTTTCTCTGTCTACTGTACCTCCTGAGGACCTGAGGCGCTCCAAATGTTAAAGCCTTAGAGAGAGACAGAGTGGATTTACACTGAACCTCATCTGAGACACGCCGGGTCGGGTTCTTTGGAAACCTGTTTAATCTGGATCAGGTTTGGTTTTAGTAAATGATATTAAAGTAGGTTTGGCCTTGATTGTCTTTATATGTCCTGGTGTTTTCTGGAGCTTGTTTGTCCCACATGAATAAAGGAAAATAAACTGTTGAAGAAATCTGGTCAGTCTAACGTCAGACATTAGAGCAGATATGTTTAATGTCTCTCTGAGACCTGGAGAAGATAATCAATATACAGAAACAGGACAATTGTGGACAAAAGTGCTGCGTCTCTAACTGTCATCATGTTTATGAAGCTGGACTTTTATTACAGAGAAAGTGTTTGTAAGATGGAACTTGTTTTACAGACAAAAAGACTAAAAAGGAAAATTTTCTACAGGGAGAGAAAAAAACCCAAAACCAGGTCTGAGGTCTTTAAAATCCAGAGGACTAAACTGATCCTCCTGATACTTCTGTGAGCTCACCCTCAAAAAGACCTGTTTTTGTGTGCCTGAATTGTGTTTCATAAATTATGTTAATTTATAGTTTAAAAAAATAAAACATTAAAACCGTAAAACTGTGAAAAAAGAATCAATAAAAGACAAAGTGATCAAACTAAAAATAAGACTTCCCCTCTTATACCGAACTCACTGTCAGAACTTCAGAAGGCAAACTTTTGGTCATCCAACTTTATTTTTGTTTTCCAATACGCTCAACTGAAAAATTCCAACCAATCAAATAAGAGAAGCGGTGACTCAGGATCGCCGACCAAGAGATGTGAGTGAAGACGAACGAGTGAAGATGAGTGAGTGAAGATGAATGAGTGAAGAGTGTAAACATACTTTAACCTGATGGAGCTGAGTGAGTCCAAAACCATGTTTTATAGACGATTCTGACCAACAGCAGAGACTGAATAAGGAAGGAGAGAGAGAGGAGAGGGGGTGAGGGAGAGAGGGAGTGAGGGGGTGAGGGACTGAGGGAGTGAGGGAGTGACACTGAAGGGCAGAGAGAAGGAGGGAAACTCACTACAGAACTGTTACAATATCAAATACTGAGAACCTTATTGACTTCAAATAGTATAAAAACCTCTCAGAGACACACACACACTCATACACACACTCATACACACACACACACACATACACACACACGCACTCATACACACACACACACACACACACACACACACACTCGTACACACAACACACACACACACTCATACACACACACACACACACACACACACTCATACACACACACACACTCATACACACACACACACACACACACACACACACTCGTACACAAACACACACACACACACACACACACTCGTACACACACACACACACACTCGTACACACACTCACACACACACACACACACACACACACACACACACACACACACACACACACACACACACACACACACACTCGTACACACACACACACACACTCGTACACACCCTCATAGACACACACACACACACACACACACGCACACACTCGTACACACACACACACACACACACACACACACACACACACACTCGTACACACACACACTCACACACACACACACACAGTCCCTAGAATCAAACTGAAACACTGACAGATGGGGCCTCAAAATAATGTCTACCCTTCTTCCCGTATCTCTTTCCTCCCTCCGACCCCCCCCCCCCCACACACACACACACACACACACACACACACACACACTCACACACACACACACTCACACACTCACTCACACACACACACAGTCGTCTTTAAGCAGAGGAATGTGGTGGTTTTTTTTAGGGGTGTGCATGTCGCCTCATGCCCACCCCAGGGTTCTCACGGCGTCCTGTCTTGTTTTTAGCCCTAATTAGTGGCTGCTGGCAGTTTGGAAACAGATGTTTAAAACCCTGCAAAAGATTTTAGACTTCAAACGCTGAGGCGGAAAGTAGAAAGAGATTCGCCCTTCCTTCCCTCCCCTCTTTCCTTCTCCTGCTCTGCCTGGACCAACTTCTCTCCAGCAGGGCTGATTACAGAAATAATACAGCAGACGAAGAACGCACATGAAACGAGAACATGTGCTGCAGTCCATCTGCATTTCACAATATACTATAGTACTGACACAGCGTATATATTTAGGTAAATATAAGCTGAAGAAGCCACATATTTATGTGAAAAAGAGGAATCCTGAAGTTGAGAAATCAAAATAGGTGAAAGTGTAAAAATATTTAGACAAACCCTGAATTACTTAAACCCTGAATTACTTAAACCCGAATGTACACCTGGAGAAACCTCCCCCTCTGTTGTTTTTGTAGTGAACCTTCTGTTCAGTATCTAATCAGGCCTGTTTAATTAGCCTACGACATGTTTAAAGGTGCAGCACATGGAATAGAAATGTTCCCCTCAGTCGTTCAGAGAGAACACCTCCGAACAAAGGTTTGGCATTCATGCTGCACCGCTTAAACCTCACGGAGGTTCTGTTCAATCCTGTCCGTTCATTAGGCAAGTGGTGACAGTGTTGGCTGTGCAACAGTTTGTCTTTATACTGGCAAGCATCTTCTAGTAATTATAATTTACCATCAAGGTATGACTCCAGGGGAGAAACACGAGATACCCGCTCAGGAAGGAAGCAATACTTCTCAACTTCTCCTGACCCTGTTTTTAATGTCGGATTTTAATCCTGAAAACTAAACAAGAGTCCTGAGTCTGTCTTTGTCATTTAAAGAGATATCTGTGAGGACACTCGAGTCTTTGGTATCCTGGTAACTTCTCACTGAACACCCAAGTGTCAGATGAGCTGCAGAGTAAAGCATACTCAGCACTTTTGGCTTTCAGGTCTTAATTAAACGGCAGTTAATGACCTTAAAACTGTTCTGACATGAGATCCTGCAGGTCTGAATCACTTTAAAATAAACACGGTTTCATTAAACTAAAGCCAAAACTATCAGGGACAAATGGGCTTAATTACAGCCGACCAAAGAAATCCTGACTGAGGTACAAACACACAAACTAAAGAGTTTCTCTGCAAGTTTCAACATGAAGTAGTTGGATTATAAACATCTGAAGTTATCGTTTATAAAAATATAACAGGAGGAGCCATAAGTGTGTGATTAGGTATCTACAACAAAACACTAACACTTAGATTTAACATAAACAGGCCAATAAACTGTAGGGGCTGCATAATAAGACAAATGTAATAATACCAGTGAAATGATAGAGTTCTGTATTCATCATTAATAAATCATCATTATATTTAAACTATATTCTTTATATTTAAATCAATAAAGTGAATTGTTTTTCTAGGTAACAGATTTAAGATTTTAAGATTTAAGAGATTTAAATGAATCAATTCTAAAAAATTTTATAGTTTAAATGAAATTAAATGAATGTAAATAAAAAAACAATGATTAATTTTCTGAGTGTAGGGAGTCGACATGAATCTAGATTTATGAGCCGACCACGACATGTCAAAACTGAGAAAAAAGGGAAAATATATATAATGATAATATTTATTATTATTATTATTATTATTGTTATTATTATTATTATTATTATTATTATTATTATTTTATTTATTTATTTTTTTTTTACTTAGACCATCACACACAGATGAGTTTTCATGCATGATAACCAGACTGTAGTGTAAGCAGTATTTCTGATCTCTGGTTGAGTGTTTGACTGACCCGTTCAGTCTGCGCTGACCCTCAACTATCATGATCCTGGTCTAACAGAAAACCAAGTCCACCTCTGAGCCACAGGGTCCCTGAATAATGAGGGGCTGGTTTATTTAAAAAAAAGGGCTCGAGCACAATATCCAGAGAAGTCTCCGTTTATTTGGCTCTTCACCTTCTTTCTGACTCTTTTATATATTTGACACTTGAATCGTTTTGTCTCTTAAGGTGAAGAAAACCAAACACTTAAACTGTGAATCCTCACCTCCTGCACAGGAGCAGGAACATCAGGTGGACTGGATCATCTGATATGATTGTTCGATGTTCGTCTGTAAAGACAAAGACTGTGTGTAAACAACTCTAAAGCCCGTGTTAACCCACCATCCCAGACCCTGTTTCTGTGTCAGGACACTTCATGACTCCATCAAAGAGCTGAAAACAGTAAAACGACGTAGAGGGACAAATCCAGAACAGAAATCTCTTTAACTTCATCCAAGGCAGCAGAAGTGGGACCCCTAGGATCCTTTTATGCCTAATTGAACCCTTGAGCGATGATAAACTGCTCTGGTGAACCCATTCAAGTTAATTCATTGACTCAGAGGAACCCACACGAAACGCCGAGTGTGTTTGATTCAAAATAGCAACATTAATGGGGGGTTAGTCCGGCGCTCCTCAGAGACCGCCGCTTCATATCATCAGCGGTGAGCGGGACATTCCAGAGTCCTGACAGAGCATTAGATCTGACCCTCCACAAACACACACACACACACTGAGTCATACCCACACACTAACCTCACAGCTTCTCTGCTCAGTGCACACACACACACACACACACACACACACACACACACACTCAGCAGGTGGAAGTGTTTACGCTGCTAACAACATTTTATTACAGCATCTAAATGAACATTCACCGCTGAGTAAATACGACACTCACCAACACTCGTGCACGTGTCGCTGTCACTGGATCACATCAGTAATGGCAGATCATTGTTTTCATGTGTGTGTGTGTGTGTGCGTGCGTGCGTTTCTCGGCCGCCCTGAACGGTTCTTTTGAAGCGGGGCGTTTGATTCGTTTACAGTGATGTCTGGGCTTAATGTGCTGCTGTGGGATTTGTTTGTGTGCTTTGATTTAGTCTCGGCTTTCTGCTCGGCTTTAAAGCTCCTTCAGTAGATTTTCTTTGAACTGACTAATGTGCAGACAGGTCTGCTGTTTATCAGAGACCAGGGTCGCTCGCAGGACGTTCAGACGGTCCATTAGGGTTTTCCCCGAGAGGTGACTTACAATGACACTCCAACCTGAGATACAGATCCTTCCTGTCAGTATCGCTGCTTCAGTCAGACACGGTGACTTCAGCCCGGCGTTTCTGAATGAAAGTCTCAGTTCCAGGATTGTTGGGAGGAGGACTGGAAATCCTTATTTATCCAAACTCTCAATCAGCATTAACTCACGCCAAGAGGCGGAGCTTAATGAACTACAACGCACTCATCTGTCCGTTCACTCAGACACAACATAACCATGCAAATGTCAGCAGAACTCATGGTCTTTATACACACACACACACACACACACACACACACACACACACATAATGTCATTACATATATAAATACATACATGTGTGTGTGTGTGTGTTCAGTGTTTACATATCATTAAAGGTGTTTTGCTATAAATCTGTAAAAATGCGTGTTATGCTGCAGGGCATTATGGGAGTTATTTGCTGGATATTGAAGGAGCTGCAGTTTCTCTTTAACCTCGTTGACTGACAGGCGGTCATGTTTCTCAGTCTGTGGACGGTGTCACTTTTATAAACAAAGAAGGAGAAAACTAAAGTCTCCTAAACTGAGTCTGACTCAGAAGGTCCCACAGCGATAACGATGAAGAGTTTGATGAAGATCATGAGTTCTTATGAAACACAGAATCAGACGAGTTCAGGGTCACAGGAACATCGTTCTTATCGTCGCAGGACTTTCCGTCTCCTTAAAGAGGTTTTTGGTAAATCATCACCGAACTCTTGACTGTCACAGAGTCACAGTGAACCAGCCGTGACTCAGTTAAACCACTACAGGAGAGTGGGAACACCTTTGGTTTACTGATGAAATGACTGAAGAACATGAACGTTATAATGATGGACGACTGACTTCATTATAAATGAGATTAAAAGGTCTGAAAGTCTCAGATGAAAGTCTGTCTGCAGAGTTTCAGGGTGTCTCCTTCAGGTTCCTGTTATAATAGTAACTCAGCTGGATCCTCGGACCCGTGCTTCACTTCAGCCTCTCCCCTCATATCACAGGAGTCTGTTTCTGTATTCGTCCTTTTTCCTGCTCTGCTGTGGAGTCCTAGTCTGCCACCAACATGTCGTATTTGATCTCAGTCTGGGGTTATTTTATTGGCCCTTCTGTCTCCCTCTCAGCCAATTAAAAGCAGCCAGATGTTTGTTTGACCAACTTACATGACAAGTTCTCGCACACTGGAACTGGAGCAGCGCTTCTGCTGCAGAACCGTCACGTTTCATCCATAAAACATCAGCCATGTTCCTGGTTTAACATGGTAACCTGTTTTACTCTCCTCAAACCCGGAGTCTCAGGACACGAGCTGACGTCCTGAAGGATCCGACAGTAGGAGAGCGAACTGAACTCTTCAGTTGTTTTTAGCCCCGGTTGTGTAACACGAACTATATTTGTGTAAGTTTCTCTGCTCACATCGCCAAGACAATGGTAGGTGATGACAGCTGAGACAGGACCTGATTCTGATCTAATCTAACAGGACATGATGAGTAAGCATGAGTGGAGTCTTGGTTTGATGGACAGGTTAATCATTATACACCCACACAGACACACACGCACACACACACACACACAGACACACACAGGAAATGCTTTTGTGTACCAAGGAGTGGGAGTAGCACAGAGATATGTAAAGTTCATCTCTCCCCTCTTTCATCCTTGTTTCCTTTTACCTTTCCTCACCTTCACGTTTCCTTTAGCTCCCCCTCTCCACCTCCTCCGTCGCAGGTCTGCAGGGCAGAACAGGGCGGCAGTAAAACCCAGCACCGCTTTCTTCTTTTGTTAACAGTCCTGTTAGATATTTTCCTTTGACGTCTCAGTTTTTTAGCCTCAGGTACAGAAATCAGAGACTCACAGATTTTTATCTGATCCTCAATTAAACAGGATCTCAGTCTGCAGCTAAAATATCCACTTCTTTGGTTTTTACTGGAGGTTCATAGTGATCGATCATCAATAAGGTTAACAGGTTATCCTCAAACCTCAGCCGTAGCTTTGACAGTTTCTGCCAAGCCTGTCAAATCCACAGACAAATTTTTATACATTTTCAACAAAGACACATTTGTCACATCTGTGCATGATTCCCTCTGAAAGAGACAGCAGTTTAAGGGTTTAAGATGGCGGCTGAAACAACGTAATTTTAATACACCTGAGATAGAAACAGGAGGCTTGTTTTAAGATCAGAAAATCATGTAAAGATATTAAAGATAAATATATTAAAGATAAAGATATTAAAGATAAATATATTAAAGATAAATATATTAAAGATAAAGATATTAAAGATAAAGACATTAAAGATAAAGAAATTAAAGATAAAGACATCAAAGATAAATATATTAAAGATAGAGATATTAAAGATAAAGATATTAAAGATAGAGATATTAAAGATAAATATATTAAAGATAAAGAAATTAAAGATAAAGACATTAAAGATAAAGACATTAAAGATAAAGACATTAAAGATAAAGATATTAAAGATAAAGATATTAAAGAGGTATCAGAAGGAAAAATAGAGTCTGAAAATCGTTTACCTCGAGTTTTACTCTGACGACAGTGTTTTTGTGGCTCAACAGGCCAAAGTTTTAGAGACCTAGAAGAAAACAGTTTATTTCCTCCTCCTTTATTTGACACATAGAGCAGGATAAGTTACTTTATCATAACTCATAATTTACCTCTTCAGTTTCTTCTCCCACAAAATAATGAATCTGGCGAACGTCGTTACCAAACACTTCACTGCTGCTGCTGCTGCTGTCATCGTTGTTGTTGCTGTCGTTGTTGTTGCTGTCGTTGTTGTTGCTGTCGTTGTTGTTGTCGATGTCGTCATCGTCATTGTTGTTGTCATTGTCGTTGTTGTTGTTGTTGTTGTTGTTGTTGTTGTTGTTGTTGTTGCTGTCGTTGTTGTTGTTGTCGTCGTTGTTGTTGTCATTGTCGTTGTTGTCGTTGTTGTTGTTGTCGTTGTCGTTGTTGTCGTTGTTGTTGTTGTCGTCGTTGTCGTCGTTGTCGTCGTCCTGCCGTCCTCTGAAACCTCCGTCCTGCTGGGACTGAACCTTCAAACATGTCGAAGCGCTCCTGACTCCGGGGTCAGTTTGTGTCTCTAAGGTTGAAGTGGGTTGTCGTTGTTGTTGTTGTTGTCGTTGTTGTCGTTGTTGTTGTTGTTGTTGTCGTTGTTGTTGTCGTTGTTGTTGTTGTCGTTGTTGTCGTCCTGCCGTCCTCTGAAACCTCCGTCCTGCTGGGACTGAACCTTCAAACATGTCGAAGCGCTCCTGACTCCGGGGTTGTTGTTGTTGTTGTCGTTGTCGTTGTCGTTGTCGTTGTTGTTGTTGTCGTTGTTGTTGTTGTCGTTGTCGTCCTGCCGTCCTCTGAAACCTCCGTCCTGCTGGGACTGAACCTTCAAACATGTCGAAGCGCTCCTGACTCCGGGGTTGTTGTTGTCGTTGTTGTTGTCATTGTCGTTGTTGTTGTTGTCATTGTCGTTGTTGTCGTTATTGTTGTTGTCGTCGTTGTCGTTGTCGTCCTTCCGTCCTCTGAAACCTCCGTCCTGCTGGGACTGAACCTTCAAACATGTCGAAGCGCTCCTGACTCCGGGGTTGTTGTTGTTGTTGTTGTTGTTGTTGTTGTTGTTGTTGTTGTTGTTGTTGTTGTTGTTGTTGTTGTTGTTGTTGTTGTTGTTGTCGTCGTTGTTGTTGTTGTTGTTGTTGTTGTTGTTGTTGTTGTTGTTGTTGTTGTTGTCGTTGTTGTTGTTGTTGTTGTTGTTGTTGTTGTTGTCGTCGTCGTTGTTGTCGTTGTTGTCCTGCCGTCCTCTGAAACCTCCGTCCTGCTGGGACTGAACCTTCAAACATGTCGAAGCGCTCCTGACTCCGGGGTTGTTGTTGTTGTCGTTGTTGTTGTTGTTGTCGTCGTTGTCGTCCTGCCGTCCTCTGAAACCTCCGTCCTGCTGGGACTGAACCTTCAAACATGTCGAAGCGCTCCTGACTCCGGGGTTGTTGTTGTTGTTGTTGTTTGTTGTTGTTGTCGTTGTTGTTGTCGTCGTTGTTGTCGTTGTTGTTGTTGTCGTTGTCGTTGTCGTTGTTGTTGTTGTTGTTGTTGTCGTTGTTGTTGTTGTTGTTGTTGTTGTTGTTGTTGTTGTCGTTGTCGTTGTCGTCCTGCCGTCCTCTGAAACCTCGGTCCTGCTGTGACTGAACCTTCAAACATGTCGAAGCGCTCGTGACTCCGGGGTTGTTGTTGTTGTTGTTGTTGTTGTCGTCGTTGTCGTTGTCGTTGTCGTCGTTGTCGTCCTGCCGTCCTCTGAAACCTCCGTCCTGCTGGGACTGAACCTTCAAACATGTCGAGGCGCTCCTGACTCCGGGGTTGTTGTTGTTGTTGTTGTTGTCTTTGTCGTTGTTGTTGTTGTCGTCATTGTTGTTGTTGTTGTTGTTGTTGTTGTTGTTGTTGTCGTTGTTGTTGTTGTTGTTGTCTTTGTCGTTGTTGTTGTTGTCGTCATTGTCATTGTTGTTGTTGTTGTTGTTGTTGTCGTTGTCGTTGTTGTTGTTGTCGTTGTTGTTGTCGTTGTTGTCCTGCCGTCCTCTGAAACCTCCGTCCTGCTGGGACTGAACCTTCAAACATGTCGAAGCGCTCCTGACTCCGGGGTTGTTGTTGTTGTTGTTGTTGTTGTTGTTGTTGTTGTTGTCGTTGTCGTCGTTGTCGTTGTCGTTGTCGTTGTTGTCGTCCTGCCGTCCTCTGAAACCTCCGTCCTGCTGGGACTGAACCTTCAAACATGTCGAAGCGCTCCTGACTCCGGGGTTGTTGTTGTTGTTATTGTTGTTGTTGTTGTTGTTGTTGTTGTTGTCGTTGTCGTCGTCGTTGTTGTTGTTGTCGTTGTCGTTGTCGTTGTTGTCGTCGTTGTCGTCCTGCCGTCCTCTGAAACCTCCGTCCTGCTGGGACTGAACCTTCAAACATGTCGAAGCGCTCGTGACTCCGGGGTTGTTGTTGTTGTTGTTGTTGTTGTCGTTGTTGTTGTTGTTGTTGTTGTTGTTGTCGTTGTCGTCGTCGTTGTCGTCCTGCCGTCCTCTGAAACCTCCGTCCTGCTGGGACTGAACCTTCAAACATGTCGAAGCGCTCCTGACTCCGGGGTCAGTTTGTGTCTCTAAGGTTGAAGTGGGTTGTCGTTGTTGTTGTTGTTGTCGTTGTTGTCGTTGTCGTTGTCGTTGTTGTTGTTGTCGTTGTTGTTGTTGTTGTTGTTGTTGTTGTTGTTGTTGTTGTTGTTGTTGTCTTTGTTGTCGTTGTCGTCGTCGTTGTCGTCGTTGTTGTTGTCGTCGTGTGGTCCTGCCGTCCTCTGAAACCTCCGTCCTGCTGGGACTGAACCTTCAAACATGTCGAAGCGCTCCTGACTCCGGGGTTGTTGTCGTTGTTGTTGTTGTTGTCGTTGTTGTTGTCGTTGTTGTTGCTGTCGTCGTTGTCGTCGTCCTGCCGTCCTCTGAAACCTCCGTCCTGCTGGGACTGAACCTTCAAACATGTCGAGGCGCTCGTGACTCCGGGGTCAGTTTGTGTCTCTAAGGTTGAAGTGGGTTGGAGAGTTTTATGATTATAGACTTCACTGTGTGTTTAAGGCCGGCTCATTTGTGATCTGAGGTTACAGCTGCCCCTCCGTAAAAACAGACCAAATGCTGCAGTTTGACCTTTTTTCAACTATTATAAAGTCATCTACTGCAAAGTCTCTTTTCTCTGTATCCGGAGCATCTGTAAAATATCTTTTCATGACCAGCAATAAAAACTGATCGATCACTTTTATCATCTCAAGCTCTTTGGTTCTGATCAGTGAATCTATTAATATTAATAAAAACACTCTTTAAAGGAGAGCGAGTCTGTAAATAAGAAAAGCTGAACTTCATAATTCATTTAAGTTGAAGGAGGGTTAGTTTTCTTTACCCCTCCGTTCAGGTTGTAGCTATAAAAACTCATCTTTTTCTTCATCGTTCCTCTTTCTAAACTCGGACAGATCCTTATTAACTTTGGCACACAGCAGTGTTATCATTTGCGGCGCTTTTTCATTTATTCATTCCAAACAGATGAGTCAAGTGTCTCAGTTTATCTCTATTTCATTCCCTCGTCCACCCTCTGCTCATTCATGCCACAGAACAAGGAAACATGTTTTTCTTACCCGCCGTTTCTCTGCATGGTTTGCTCAATTGTGAAACTTCACTGCACAGCCTGGAGGAGAGCCTTTGAGCACGCGAACCGGACCCTCCGGGGGATTCAACAACTGGTTCTGGTCCTTCTTTGTGGGGAACCCAAACAACAGGAACAGGGTTTTATTTTGAGCTTCTGTCCAAATGAACATTTACTTTAAAAAAGTCATCAGTGGATTGTCATCCTCGATATGTTCCTAAGAGATCCCTCAGGTCTATACTTTACCCTCGACTCTGCTCCTGCTGCTGTTTTATTGATGAACGAGATCCCGGGTAAATTATAGATGCGCTCTGTGATTTCGTAACAAGGAAAGTATGCCGTGCTCTTCTTGGGACAGTTTCCTTCTCATTTAAAGTAAGAACAGTCGACACGGTTACTTTTGCACACACACACACCCTAAAACAAACATTCATAATCATAATAATAATAATCATAATAATAATAATAATAAATACAATCAGGCCGAGACGCTCAGGCAGAAGAACATCTGCAGTACACAGATACACAAGAACCCTGATTGTATTTAAGTCATGATCTGAACTACGTAGCACTCTGTGATCGACTCGTCAGGGCTCCCCCACGTACATGTCCAGTTCAGTGTAACCTTCTAGCTGGCCTCGGTGTCGCAGACTCGAGATCTGATTGGCTGTTGCAGCTGACTGTGTCTGTTCACTTAAAGCTTACAGGAGCGGCTCCGTTGATTCTGGAGACAACACAAGCTCGCTGAAATATGATTGGATAAGAAATTCTATCATAATATACAACACTAGAAGCTGCTCAACTGAGTGGCTATAATATATAATATAATAATATATATTATTTACATGTTAATGAAATTACTTTTCTGAGTATATTTAGACCAGCAGAGAAGACCTTACTGACCCTGAGGCCCCCCACTGATACGGCTGTGATATTACAGGGATGAAGATTATAGACCATCACAGTGTTGGTGTTTGTATCAGGGTAACTTTGCTGTATCATTAAACCATCAGAGTGAAAAAATAACAAGTATGACAGGACATGTTTGGGTCATACCTGCTGCCATGTGTGTTATTAATAACGTGTGTGTTCGACAACATGCACCAAGGAAGACCACCTGGCTTCTTAATGTGGGACCGATGTTCCTTCAGGGCTGTGTGTGTGTGTGTGCGTGTGTGTGTGTGTGTGTGTGTGTGTGTGTATGTGTGTGTGTGTGTTAAACAGACCTATGATAATACAGTCCCTCTCTCTCTCTCTGTCCGTCTTCTGTTTTCTGCAGGTGGTTCTCGACCACATGAGGAGGAAGTGTAAGTGTCACGGGACGTCGGGGAGCTGCCAGCTGAAGACCTGCTGGCAGGTCACCCCAGAGTTCAGAGTGGTGGGTTCGATCCTCAAAGAGCGCTTCCACATCGCCACACTTATCAAGGCTCACAACCGAAACACCGGACAGCTCGACCACTCCCACCACAGCAACTACCACAACAATCACAACCACCATCACCACCACCACCACCACCACCACCATCAGAACAATCCCCACAACAACCACCACCACCACCACTCACACAGACGGCGGCCCAGCATCAACGAACTGGTCTACTTCGAAAAGTCCCCGGATTTCTGTGAGCGGGACCTGGGCTCGGACTCGGCCGGCACCCAGGGCAGGATCTGCAACAAGACCAGCCCTGGCATGGACAACTGTGAGAGTCTGTGCTGTGGGAGGGGCCACAACATCCTGCAGCAGACACGGAGCGAACGCTGCAACTGCAAGTTTCACTGGTGCTGCTACGTGGTGTGTGAAGAGTGCCGGATAACAGAGTGGGTCAGTGTCTGTAAATGAAGAAGCACACTCAGAGACCACATGAATAAAAAGACAGAAAGACAAACACGTTTTTAAATCAAGATTTTTAAGTTGGAGGGGAGTGTGACTGTAATACATACGCCCCAAACCGCTGTTCTCCATGAGTGTGAAGCAGTCAAACCTGCAGAGACATAGACGTGCACGGATGAATGTGTGTGCACGTACAGCATTTGTCTGCCATAGGTCAAAGAGCAGGGATGTTTCATGTTTAATGCCCTCCAAACGGAAAAAGGAACAAAGTTATAAGAGATATCTGAAGCTCTCTGTAGGACATTTGGGCTCTGAACGTACCGAGCTGTTGTTGTTGTTTCATCTGCACATGTGACACGACAGACGGCTGCATGTCATTCAGGTGAGCGAAGAGGAAGCTGAGGGTGAGGAGAAGACTGCATGCAGAGAGGAAGATGGTTGCTTTAAAGCAAGAGTAATTTATAAATGGAGAAGACTGATGCCTCTCATGAACCTCTGTGGAAACATCTCTCTTTCATATCATCCATCATCAGATCCACTTTTGTCTTCACATGAACTTCAGTGTCTTCCAGCACAAGTGCAGTCATGTTCAACAGTCGAGGTGCAACGGATCACGGCTTAGACTGACCCCATGATCTGGACGATGCAGGATCCAATAATCAATAGAAAAAATATTGGTAACATGTTCTGACTGGCTTTGATTTTTCCTTTCAAACTAATACGAGCATGAGAAAGACGCCTGTCTGAGCCCAGGTCCTGCTCACAGCCCACCCACGTGTGTGTGAGCTCTGGATGTGAGTAAGGAGAGGAGGGACGCAGGCTTCAGTGTTTTAATAATAAATACATAAAAATAATCAGAGTAAATGAGGGGAGGTCTTCAACAACAACAACAACACACCAGCAGAACACACCAGAAAACACATTATAGCACATGTGGCACCAGCGAAGCAAACGCTCCAAAGTTTTTATGTTCATGTTGAAGAAGCAGACCTGAGAAATTTCACTGACAGCAGCAAACGGAGCCGCTGGACTCAGACGACGTCCCCGAACATCTGAAGACACAACTGAGACCGAGTCGTGTGAGCCCAGCAGAACTTTACATGAACACATAATGACTGATCATCCAACTGATCTGTCATCTGGGTCACCTGCTATGAGAGGTATAAATAGTTCTTATAAAGTTCCTATGCCTGTTGTTAAATAATCTCCAACTGTCTTTAAAGTTAGATCCATACAGGCCTGTCGAGGGTCAAAGTCTCTTCTGATCCATCTGGAAACAGAACCACACTATGTCTCCGTGATCCGATGCACCTCTTTCCAACAGTACTGCCATGTTCCAAATCCACCACTGAAAAGACAAATAAAGATCATTTCACACACACACACACACACACACACACACACACACACACACACACACACACACACATCAGAACAGGACTGGACACAGCAAAGCCCCTCTGGAGGATTTAAGGATGCTGTTCCCGCTCCAAGAGCAGTTCAGAACAAAAACATAGAAATGTAAAATAAGACGTTTATCACAACGTGACATTTTCAAACACATGAGAGAGAGACTGTGTGGCTGAACTGGCTTTAAAAGGAGCTGACGAGAGTAATGATACTGGGTCATCTTCAACCCTGCTGACAGTGAAGAACACTTGTCGTGAGATGGCGCCATATAGATAAAGATTGATTGATTGATTGATTGATTAATGACCTCTGAGTACAAACTTCCATATGTTGGTTCATAAAAGCAAAGTGGGGTCAAAACTCCTGTCAGGTAGACTCCACCATCAGAGGGTTTCCTCACCGAGGCTGAACCCTGAGCGGCTGAACCAATCACAGGACTGAGCTGAGAATCTGACTACTGGTGTCGTGTTGCTCTGTTTTCTGAGAGGCTGAAAACAGAAACCATTTCCTTAGAATAATGTGTTGAAATAAATCCACAAAGATGAGCAATAGAGTTAGAACACGGTAGGTTTAATTATGTGAATCCATTTGAAACCCGTTGTGACAAGTGTTTGTGCTCGTGCAGATGAATTATGCTGAGTCATGTTATCCAGTTGTTCTGTGTTTGATATGCAGTGTATGAGGACCGTCGATGTACAAAACACAGTGTCTGTTCCTTCAAACGTACATCTCATACCTGAACCAGCATTGTAAATAAAAGTCATTAATGCTGCACAAAAACTCAGAGATACATTAGTGCCTCAGGAGACTGAGCGCACATGAACAAGCTTCAGTTCCTCACACTGTAAACATCCTAAACTCTTCGACTCAAAGTGTTTTCTGTTTCGTGATGCTCTGTGCTGTGTGTGGCACTGTAAGCTTCTTGTGATGTATCGACACACTTTCTCACACAAATAGGGATTATCTGGTGTCAAAATACACATTATTTCAATAGACTGACTCTGGATTTCTGCCTATGCACATTTTGAAGATCAGATTTCATCCCTAAAAACGTTTACAAGTGAGGCCCCTGATAAGACAGAGTAATTTATTTCAAGCAAACGTGTTTCTGTGTGGAGAACTGGGGGGAATCTGGAATTATGTTTCTAGTGTAACAGATTATTTTGGTTCTGATTAGTACTTTGCACATACAGAACTGTGTCCAGGAAAACTCTGGGAACTTTCAACAATATGCATTTTTTATGCCATAAATGTTATGTATGTATTTTTATGTTTAAATATGGTTATGATCTAAGTTATTTTATTTTTGTGAATAACTTAATATTTGTAAAACAATAAAGAAAGGCCATACCAATGAAAGGGGATTTAATGTGATGAATAATAAAATATATGATAGCAGTGTCTTTGGTAAGAGAAAAGTTTGGTGTGTATTTTTTATTGAGAGTCTCCATGAGAACATTAATGAATACATGAGCTCATGTGTTCATAGTTACTGTAAAACTACTTCAGAGATCAGAAGGTCCTCGTACAGTTTGGTGCAGTGCAGTATAGAACTGTATAGTATAGTGTAGTGTAGTGTAGTGTAGTAGTGTAGTGTAGTATAGTACGGAATAGTATAGTATAGTATAATACAGTATAATGTGTAGTATAGTGTAGTACGGAATAGCATAGTATAGTATAGTAGTATAGTATATCATAGTATATTATGGTATAATACAGTATAATATTGTATAGTATAGTATATTATAGTATATTATAGTATATTATAGTATAATACAGTATAGTATAGTATAGTATAGTATATTATAGTATATTATGGTATAATACAGTATAATATTGTATAGTATAGTATAGTAGTATAGTATATTATAGTATATTATGGTATAATGCAGTATAATATTGTATAGTATAGTATATTATAGTATAGTATATTATAGTATATTATGGTATAATGCAGTATAATATTGTATAGTATAGTATAGTATAGTATAGTATATAATAGTATATTATGGTATAGTACAGTGCAGTATACATAGTTTAAGTTATTTGGGGATGGTTATTACTAAGAAGTACGATGATCTTTACTCGGCCGAGTTTCCGACCTCGTTGGACAAGTTAAAAAATAATAATAATATTGTAAAACACACTCCCTAATTCAGAGTGAATGATATCAAGATGATTTTTCTCCCTCAGCTACTTTACCTTTTTCTAAACCTTCCTGTTTACCTTGTCAAACCTTGTTTCATTAAATTGGACTCAATCATTTTCCCCTCTGAAGGGAATTATAAGTCCCATAGAATAAAGAGCGACCATCTTTGTAAACACAAAACTTATGGGGGGCTGGCACTGACCAATTTTATTTTATAATACTGGAAATGTGGGAAATAGAGAGAGGGGATGACATGCAGTACGTAATAAAAATAATAAAAATAATCATCTAATAATCAAACCTAATAAATATGGGCCTGAAAAACAGCAACACAGTTGGTTTTCAGGTTTAATGAAACACACTGAGGATACTTGGTGTTTTCCTTTTGTATCTCCTCCTCCCAGTCTTTTGTCTGTTCTGATGATCTACATATATTATGTGCACCTGGTTAGTAAATCAGCATTGCGCGCGCTATCAAGTTTGCACGTGTTTTTGTACACGCAAACCTTTAGTAGATCAGGCCCAAGTCTTTGGTCAACTGTAGACCCTCCCTTACCAGTTGCTGCTTGCGTGCAGTAAGAAATCCTGTCGGGCGTCCTGACTCACTTCTATATTCTGTGCCTCGAGGGAAGCGATGAAGTCACCAAGTCAAGTGTAAAAATGCAAGAGATACACTCTCAAAGTAAACAGATGTGCAGTTAAAAGGTGCTATTTTAGAGTCAGGCGGTTCTATTCTTATCCAAACATACTGGAGGAGGAGGAAGAGGAGGAGGAGGAGGAGGAGGAGGAGGAAGAGGCTTCCCTCCGCTCTCCCGGGTCTCCCTTCGCCGCTCTATCTTTATGTTTACCTAAGCAAGCGTGGTGCATCTGTGAGTGTGGTCGTTTTAGTGAGCTTACTCTTCATCTCCTTCCTCACTTGTATTAATTCTTAATGTCTGGATGTGTTTTTGTGGTGACAACCCTGACATGTAGGTAGTTTCTGTGTTTCTGATGAAATTAACTGCCAAAGTGTTGATATGCAGAGTTTACGACTGAAGGACTGGAATTCGACACGTTTTGAAGCTGTAGGAGAATTCAAGACGATTATAAAAGGCAGAGAAATCAGTTCAGTTGGATCTTAGCGTGATTTTAGCGTGTAATCGTATAATCCCGTTTCCTCTTCAGAGCGTGAGCATGTTTCTGTTTTCTGTGCCGCCGTCTCGGTCACTCTGGAAAAAAAATGTTAAAATCTCAAAGAGTTTTTTTAACCTGGTTAGATAAAGGAGACTGATTGATTGATTGATTGATTGGTTGATTGATTGATAAGCTGATGGGAACCTGATGTAAACACTAAACATTCAGAACCAAAGGCAGCTGACTGTTACTGTGGCAAACTAAGAAGCAGACTTCGGAAACAGAATCGACTGAAACTGTTTTATTGATTTTAATGATCACAAAAGGATTAAATACCAAATGATCACATTCTGTATATATTCAGGAGTTAAACAGATATTAAAATCCATGTCGAATGATTGTTTTATATCCAATCACTCAAAAGAAAAGAGTCACATTCATCTTCAGGCCTGGACTTGTTGAGTTTGTTGAGTTTGTTTAACAGGGGCTTTTATTTTGATAGGGAGCAGGTCCCAAAGTGACTGCAGGTTTGAGCTGAAACAACATTCTGCTGCTGAATGAGATTAAATGTGAATGTTATGGTCCTGCTGTTATGACTCGTCTGTGTCTCTTGTTAAACAGGCCAAGGTCAGTGAGCGTGTGAATCGAAGGTTTTGACCCAGAGACACGAATATTTTTATTTCACAAATTCCACCTGAGGTATTTTCTTTGTTTTAACTCTGTGGACACAAACAACACCTGAGACACAAACAACAGATCCTGAAATATCGACTTGCTTCTGGAGTTTCAGAAGATGTTTAACATCACCATGTTATTAAAATCTGGGGGACTGCTGTGAGCCGGAGACCGGACCAGGAGGTTACTGTGGAGACAAGAGGCCAACACACATGCTGACAGCTTTCAACAGTTTGTTGGTTTCCATCTACTCTGGTAAGATAACTAACACCTTTTTATGGATTAATGTGTTTATGTCAATCAATGAAGTTATTTAAAATCAATGAATTCCACAGATTAAAGAAAGGTTACTAGATTATCCACAGATTAGAGCTTTCTGTGGAAAAATTACACTGCTCACAAAAATAAAGGGAACACTAGAATAACCCGTCCTAGATCTCAGTGAATGAAATATTTCAGTTTAAAGTCTTTATTCATCACATCGTGGAATAACATAGAAATGATCAGTGTAGATGAAAGTTACTGTCCCACAGAGGTCTGGATTTGGAATCAGACTCATTACAGGATGATCCAAACTTGAGTGAACTTTCCTCAAGACGAGTCAGAATGAGGCTCGGTTCTGAGTGTGGCCTTCACCTGCCGGTATGACCTCCCTACAACACCTGGGCATGCTCCTGATGAGGAGGTGGTGGATGTTCTTCTAAAGGGATCTCCTCCCAGACGCGGATTAAAGCATCAGTCAACTCCTGGACAGTCTGCGGTGCAACAAGACATGATCACCCAGATGTTCTCGATTGGATTCAGGTCTGGGGAACGGGCAGGCCAGTCCGAAGCATCAAGACCTTCATCATGCAGGAACTGCTGACTCACTCCAGACACATGAGAAACCCAGGGCCCACTGCACCAGCAGATGGGTCTGAGGATCTGATCCCAGTACCTGATGGTAGTCAGGGTACCATGACATCCTGTCTAGG